CAGAGTCTGGTGTGAAGATCAGTGCTGTGGTATTGAACAGCAACATCCCTGCATAGGGAGCAAGACAACAGCCTTGGAGGTGCAGTGCAAGGTCCTCTGTCTTCATTTAATTTAAATCTCTTCCCTCCTGCTGAGAGTTCAGCCCCAGCTAACCATGTTGAAGATCAGTGGATCACAACCTCATCTTCCCATTGGAGACTCGGCATAAGAAGCTGCATCATTCACGTGGAAGCACTACTGAACCACCTTTAAGGTTGCAAAGTGAAGCCCTTAAAAACCAGGAAATAGCTGCAGGAAGCTTGCATATGCAAACCATTAACTTCATCCCTTTGCACATAAACACTTTTAAAGTATATTCTGACCTTTTGCTGCCTCCGCTCTGTCCAGCCACTGAGACAAAGGCAGAATAAATATAAAGCAGTGTAAAATACTGTCAGGTCAGTACTCTCTCCTCACTCTCAAGAGAGTGTTATACAGTCATTTAACAGAGGTGTCCTTGGTGACAAACAGAGGAAACAGTGGGCAAGCAGGTCTATAGTCTTTAGCTGTAGAGTCCCATGAGTTCTTCAGGCCCCAATACAGCATAAATTCCTACACAGGACTGAATCTAAGTACATGCTTTGAAGGACTCAAAAATCCATGTATACGTGAAGTGCAGCCCCAAGAAACCAGAGTGCATGTCTGATCAGTCATTTAAGTCTTGTAACTCAGGTGACTCATAGATAGTTTCAGCTGTGAAGCTAAAAGCTGTTCATGCTCAAGTGGAAGTACGATTAAGTCTCCATTTTCCAGCCTGAAGAGTTTCAGTGAAAAAGAACATTTTGAGAAATTAATAACTAGGTGAAGAGAGGAATTTCACAGAAATAATCTCACAACACTACAGGGCTCCAGACCGCTGCAGTCAGAACTTCTGAGTTCAACTGCATCACTGGACACTTACCTTATTGGTCACTGATAATTTGGGACTCCTGAGCAGGATTCACTGTTGATTCTTTTTAATCTGATGGTTATGAATTTTCTTTTTGTGTTGTGGTGTCCTTTAAACCACTTGTCTACTCCAAGTGGACAATAAATTATTAGCTGAAGTTATAACTTTGTTACTCTAATTCAGGGGTAGGCAACGTTTGTAGCTGGAGTGCCAAAAAACTGCAATGTCTACCTTGTAAGGTGTTGGAGTGCCGGTATGCCAGAAAAAACAAAACGGGTAGGGAGGGGGTACATGGCAGGATGCACTGCATATTAATATAGTTAATAATCATAAATGTTGGTTTGCTCATGGTAAATACCAGGTTTTCTAAAAATTCTAAACCTGGTGACATAAATAAAACTTCATATACTATCTTTGCTCTTGTGTATTCTTTTTTGTTAAGCATGTTGTGATGACAGGAAACAGAGAGAAAGAGGGGAAAAAAGAGAGAGAAGAGAAAGAAAAAAGAAAGAAAGGGAAAGAAGAGAAAAAATGGAAGAGGTAAAGAAATAAAAGAAAAGGAGAAAAAGAAAAATAGAAAAAGAGAAGAGACAAAAAGAGAAAAAACAAAAGGAAAAATAGAAGAGAAAGAAAAAAAAGGAGAGAAAGAAGAGACAAAGCGGGGAGAGAAAAAAGAGAAAAGAAAGAGAGGAGAGAAAAAGAGGAGAGAGAGGAAAAGGAAAAAGAGAAAGAGGTGTGTCCCTTGCCCCTGATGTCTCCCACTGCTACTGGCTGTGGCTTGGGCTGCTGGTCCAGGGCAGTGTCCAGCGGAGGGAGGCAGCGACACCCCAGTAGCAGCCACCAGGGCTGGGGTGCTCAGGCCTCCCCAGTGGTCCCAGAGTGGGGGAAGCCTGGGCCCAGGGCTGGGAAGGAGAGCTTGGGCAGACGGATGCCCCCCGTCCCACCGGGGTGGGGGCAGTGCCAGGACCAGGTGCTCGGGGAAGGGCCATAGATTCATAGATTGTAAGGCTGGAAGGGGCCTCGGAAAATCATCAGGTCCAGCCCCCTGCACCAAACAGGAAATATGACCCCAGCAAGGTGACCGTCCAGTCTTCTCTTGAAGATTTCCAGGGTAGACATTCGTACCACCTCTAGAGGGAGCTTATTCCACAGTCTGGACACACTAGTTGTGGAGGGGTTTTTCCTAATGTTGAGCCTGAAACAGTCTTCCAGGAGTTTGTGACGATTACTCCTAGTTTTCCCCAGGGGTGCCCTGGTGAACAGTTGTTCACCGAGCGATGTACACCTCTAATGTAGCAGCAAGCTGCTACTAAGTCCCCCCTCAACTTCCTTTTTTTCAGGCTGAAGAGTCCCAGATCCCTCAGCCTTTCCTCGTATGGCTTGCCGTGCAAGTCTCTGATCATACCAGTGGCCCTTCTCTGGACTCTCAAGCTTTATCATGTCCTTATCAAAGTGTGGTGCCCAGAACTGGATGCAGTACTCCAGCTGCGGTCTCACCAATGCCGAGTAGAGTGGGAGAACGGTGTTGCTACAGCATCGCACTGCCGGCTCACGTTCATACTGTGGCCTATTATTACCCCCAGGTCCCTTTCATTCGTAGTGCTGGTCAGGTTGGCATTGCCAAGCCTGTAGGTGTGCAGGGGATTGTTTGTCCCCAGATGGAGGACTTGATATTTCTCAATGTTGAACTTCATCTGGTTCCGATCCACCCAACTTGCCAGCCTGTCTAGGTCTGCCTATATCTACAGCCTACCTTCAAGCGTGACCACACTTCCCATAACTTGGTGTCATTCGCGAACTTGGCCAGTGAGCTCTTCACCCCCGCACCAAATCATTGATGAAGATGTTAAAAAGCACTGGACCAAGCACCAACCCCTGTGGGACACCACTGGCCACTTCCCACCAAGATGATACAGATCTGTTCATTAGACCTCTCTGGGTCTGCAGCCAGTTTTCTATTCACCTGACTGTCTCGCGGTTAAGCCCACAGTCTTTCAATTTTCTCATGAGAACATCGTGGGATACCAGATCGAAGGCTTTTTGGAAAGTCAATCTCCTCTCTCTTATCCAGGTGGCAAGTCACTTGATCGTGAAAGGAGATGAGGTTGGTAACACAAGACCTGCCCATAATGAAGCCATGCTGGCTGTCGTTCAGAATCCTACCTTCTGCAAGCCTATCGCACATAGATTCCTTAATGAATTGTTCCAGGATTTTCCCTGGGATAGAAGTTAAGCTACTTGGCCTATAGTGGCCCTCTTCCAGTCCTTGGGGACCTTCCCAGAGCACCACGAGTTTTGGAAGAGATTCGCCAGGGATTCTGTGATTACTTTGGCCAGCTCCTTCAGCACTCTTGGATGAAATTCACCTGGCCCTTCTGACTTCTATACGTCCAGTTTCTTTAATTGAGGGATCCTGGTTTTCCATGATAAAAAATCACAAATTTTCTGATAAAAGATTGCAAATTCTCTGATAAAAATCCCAAAATCCATGGTTAAAATTAAATGCCCCCCACAGCCCTACTGGTGTCTCTTACTCCACCACAGCCACCCAGCCCTGCTTGTTCCCCTTGCCCTCCACCCACAACCCCTTGCTCCCCAGCTCTGCTGGAGGGGGCCCCCAGATGCCAGGACTATGGGGCCAGGGACCCAGGTCCACAGCCCCCTGCCTCCAATGGAAGGCAGCAGCTGCTACAGCAGGAGCACAAACTGGCTCCCCCCCTGCTGCTGCCGGCAGGGCCAGCTCCCAGTGATAGCGTGAACTCCTAGAGGGCAGGGGAAGCCTGCGCCTCCCAGATCTGTGTGGGGGGTGGGGGCAGGGTGGATGTGCACTGCCCCTGTGCATGCAGAGGAAGTGTGGCCAGGGCAGTACAGAGCTTGCAGTGGCAGGCAGCTTTCGTACGTGGCCCCACTGTGCCCTCCCGTGCCAGTAGCACGCGCTGCACTCTGGAGAGCCTGGGGGAGGGCAGCTGCCTGCTCCCGGCCGGAGTGCTCGGCTGGCTGGAAACCCCTGCTGCTCTCAGCCAGCTGCAACAACCCCTCCCCCCCACCCCAGCTGGAGTGCCCAGCCAAGGAGTGCCCAAGCTGGCTGGGGGCTGAGGGAGCGGGGAGGTTTGTAGCCGGCTGAGAGCAGCTGGGGTTTCCAGCCAGCCGAGCACTCCAGCGGGGAGCAGGGGGGCTGCAAACCCCCTAGCCAGCTTCCCCCCCAGCCCTGCCCCACAACCCCCAAGCCCCACTTACCTCCAGCAAGAAGAGTGAGCCTGAAGCAGTCTCCGGTAAGTGAGTGTTGGGCCCTGCCTTTCCCCATTCCCTTCCCCTCCTGGCAGGGTTGAGGGTTTCCCTGCCCCTTTTGCAAACAGCTCCTGGAGGCTGGAACTCAGCCAACCTGCAGAGCTCTTTGCAAAAGGCGGAAATCCATGGGTTTCTCTTCTAAAAGGGAAAATCTATGTTTTCTCTGATACAAATGGGAAATCCGTGTTTTTTTCTGTTTTTCCGTGGGAAATGGAAAACCAGGATCCCTGTGATCACACACCAGTTCTACGGCAATAGTAGGAAGGCAGTCATTTGAACCCTGCTCATTCTGTACCCTAGCTGGTGTGATTTTCCCCTTGGCCCAGTGAAAAACCAAAGCAAAGTAGTCATTCAGGAGTTCAGTTTTCTCCTAAGTGCCAGTGACTAGCTGTCTTGAGTTGTTGAGCAATGGCCCCACACTCCCATTTGTTTTTCTCCTGTTTCCTACGTACCTAAAGAAGGACTTCTTGTTGTCCTGGATTCCCATTGCTAATTTTAGTTCAGTTGCCACCTTAGCTTTTCTAATCTGATCCCTACAAGTGTGGGCCATTGCTATATAGTCCTCCTTGGGGGCTGTCCCTGTCTTCTATTGACTACACTTTTTTCTTAAGAGGACCATGATTTCCCGGTTTAGCCAAGAGGGTTTCCCAGCCCTTTTGCTACCTTTCCTCTGCATGGGAATGGACTTCCATGTTACCTGTGGGGAAGGGGGAGCCAGGCTCCATACTCCACTCCATCGCAGCAGCC